TCGGATGCTGAGTAGAAGCTGAGAGATTTTGTGATGGAAGTGAAGACGACGTTTGGCCGACCGCCGAAGATTGTGCATTCCGACAATGGTGGTGAGTTCCAGAACAGGTCACTGGAGAGTTTTTTCCAAGAAAGAAGGAATCAGGCAGCAGTTCACTACTTCACACACCCCGCAACAGAACGGGACAGCAGAACGCAAGAACCGCTCTTTGAACGAAATGGCGCGGTGTATGCTGCTGGATGCAAAGCTTCCGACGAGGTACTGGGCGGAGGCTATGAACACATCGAACTATCTTCAAAATCGACTTCCGACCAGGTCATTGAAGACCGCACCTTACGAAGCATGGTGGGGAGAAAAACCGGACCTGGATCCCGAAGCAAAACCGGACGAAGTTGGATGCAGCAGCGCAGAAAATGACTTTCGTTCGTCGACATGCAGCTTCCAGGACGAAGAAGATGACAATGGAAGTAACATTGACTTCCCGTTGACCGACAATTCAAAAACTAATAATTTTCCTATCGTTGCAGGGGACGTTCTCGGTGAGCCAACTGACGATGAGGAAGAACGTGTGTCGGAATCCGAAGCGGAAGAGGATCAATACGATACATCCAACGAATCATACGAGGACGCTACGCTCACCGAGCAGCACAATGCCGATGAACGTCCCCTCAACGCACCGAGAGATCCATTGTCCACGTGTATCCCGATACGTGCCTCAAGTCGGTCAACCAAAGGGGTACCGCCGAACCGATTCACTGAAACCAGCAAGCTGATGAGTCAGCAATCGTTCGAGCCGACGACGCTAGCAGAAGCACTGTCGGGTGCAGAGCGTGAACACTGAAAGAAAGCTATGGACGAGGAGTATACGTCGCTGCAGGAAAACTCCACATGGGATATCGTCAGCCTTCCCACCAATCGGAAACCAGTAGGCTGCCGGTGGATTTTCAAGAAGAAGCTGGATGAAGACGGGAAAGTAGCAAGATACAAGGCCCGACTTGTCGCTCAAGGGTACAGCCAAAAATTTGGTACTGACTACGACGGGTCTACGCGCCGGTTGCAAAACACGCCACGTTCCGGGCGCTCCTGTCGGTAGCAGCACGCCGAAAGATGCAGGTGAAGCATGTCGACATCAAGACGGCGTATCTGTATGGAGAAATTTCGGAGACAATTTACATGCGTCAGCCACCAGGGTACGAAACCGGAAGTCCAACGGATGTATGCCATTTGAGGAGGAGTTTGTACGGCCTGAAGCAAGCAGGAAGGGTTTGGAACAAGACCATTACCGACGTTTGGAAAGAAGCTGGGGAACGAAGCAACGGAAGCCGATAGCTGTCTATTCGTAAAGACCGGTCGTGAGTTGTCCTTCATCCTACTGTATGTGGATGATATGTTGATCGGCGACGTCAAGTACGAACGAGTACGGAAGGACCTGGAGCAGAAATTCAAGATTTCGTGTCTGGGTGATGTAAGCAACTACCTTGGGATTCGTGTTGAACGTGATGCTGATGGAAGTTTCCTATTGTGTCAAGACACGTACATTTCGAAGATGCTGACCACGTTTGGGATGGAACAAGCAAAATCGTCACCGATTCCGATGGACCCCGGGTTCATCACCATAGAGCAAAAGGAGGAGGAAATGTTGACCATCGACAAATACCAGAGCCTTGTGGGAGCTTTGCTCTACGTTGCTGTTTGCACACGGCCCGATTTAGCGATCACGGCGTCCATCCTTGGGCGCAATGTCAGCAGACCAACGGAACGTGACTGGGCGGAAGCGAAACGAGCCCTGCGGTATTTGAAGGGTACTGCTGGACTAAAGCTGCGGCTGGGAGGAAGAGGCAATCTTGAAGGATACGCTGACGCTGACTGGGCGGGCGACCGTACGGATAGAAAGTCCAATTCTGGATTTCTGTTCAAGCTTGGCGGAGGAGTAATTAGCTGGACAGCTCGCAAGCAGGAGTGCGTGACCTTGTCTTCAACCGAAGCGGAATATGTCGCACTTGCGGAGGCCACCCAAGAGCTTCTCTGGCTGCTCAAGTTAATGCGAGGACTAGGCGAGGATATTCAGCAACCCGTGACCGTCTACGAAGACAACCAAAGCTGTATCAGTATCTGAGTGCCGAAGGAGTGACGAGACGAACAAAGTTCATCGATACTAGGTATAACTTTGTCCGGGATTTGTACGGATCAGGAGTCCTCAACATCGTGTATTGTCCATCAGAGGAGATGTTAGCGGATGCGCTGACAAAACCACTAGGCCGAATTAAGCTGCAGAAGATATGGGAGGAGATTGGCTTGCAGAACATCGTTCTTGAGAAGGAGTGTTGAAGTAGAAACAAGAACGATATTGAAGCAAGCCATGCTATTATTAATTTGTATTCTCTCAGAAAACAAATGTTAGTTACTGTTAGACCACCAACCAAGCAGGTTGTACTTCTCTTTAACCTCTAAGAAATGTTGGTAATGTAATATATCTGTTAATTTGTTATTTTTTAAAAGTAAAACGCTAGTTCAATAAGAAAATACAATCAGAATACAAAACTATCAGATATTTGCCTTTTATATTGCAAAATTCATATGGTCAATCACTTATTCCGGAGGCTTTATCAATAATTTGGAAATATGATCTTGTTTAACGGGCCCATAATACTGGGGTGACTGGGGCACAAGAACGTGTATCTGATCATGCTAGCGTTATGGTGTTTGGATTGGTGGCATCCGATGGCAAAAAAATGGACCCGGTGTTCATTCCAGACGGCGACAAGGTCAACACGGAGGTCTACATCGGGATTTTAAGAAAGTATGTTCTTCCGTGGATCAAAGAATAGTACGTTCCGAAGCCAAATGTTGTATTTCAACAAGATGGGGCTCCGTGCCACACCTTGAACCGCACTCAGCAGTGGTTGCAGGAACATCTTCCGTTCTGGGCGAAGGATATGTGGCCGCCATCCAGCCCGGATCTTAATCCGCTGGATTACTCAATATGGCGCGTCATGAAGGCCAAGGCCTGTTCTAAACGCCACCCGAGTACAGCAAGCCTCAGACAAACATTGACCCGTACCTGGAGAGAAATGGATCCAGACTACATTATTAGAACCTGCCGTGCATTCCGGAAGCGTGTGGAGGCCGTAATTGCAGCAAGTGGAAACTCGATCGTTGATTAACATAGTTTAAGACTCTGAGAAACATCCCTCTTTGAATACATATAAAAAAATTCGAAAACGAAATTTTTGAGAATTTTTTTTAATTTTGACATTGCTCAATGGTGCAAACATTATCACCCATACGGTATGTTCCCCAAATCCTCGTGGAGTCCGGATAATTTGTTTTACAAGATCAACCAAGGCTCCGAGATATCTGATGCATCGAAATATGTCCGTATACATTCATAGTGTCTATGTTGATCATGCATGACCTATTTTCATGTATATCAGATGTTCTATGTTCTCCAAATCGTTCTGGAGTCCGGATAATTTGTTTTACAAGATCAACATAGGCTCGGACAACCTCTGCTGCATTTAAATATGTCCAATCAGGCTCATAGTGTTTATGTGGATCACACATGTCCTACTGTCATGAATTTCAGATGTGCTAGGTTCTCCATAACGTCCTGGAGTCGAGATAATTTGTTCTACAAGATCAACCTAGGCTCGGACAATGTCTGCTGCATCAAAATACGTCCAAACAGGTTAATAGTGTCTATGTTGATCATGCATGACCTATTGTCATGTATATCAGATATTCTAGGTTCTCCAAGCTGTCCTGGAGTTCAGATAAATTGTTCTATAAGATCAACCTAGGCTCAGACAATGTCTGCTGCATCGAAATACTTCCAAACAGGTTCATAGTGTCTACGTGGATAATGCATAACCTGTTCTCATGTATATCAGATATTCTATGTTCTCAAATCATCCTGAAGTCCTAATAATTTATTCTACAAAATCAACCTAGGCTCGGACAATGTCTGCTGCCTTTAAATATGTCCAAATACGTTCATAGTGTTTATGTGGATCACATATGTCCTACTGTCATAAATTTAAGATGTTGTAAGTTCTCCAAGACGTCCTGGAGTCCGGATAATTTGTTCTACAAGATCAACCTAGGCTCGGACAATGTCTGCTGCATCGAAATACATCCAAGCAGGTTCATAGTGTCTATGTGGATCATGCATGACTTGTTGTTATGTATATTAGCTGTTGGAAATTGCCAACAGATTACCGGACGGGATGATTTCCGAAATAATAATAAAGCAGAGAGACGACCGATAGTTAGGATTTATGTTTGAGTTGCGCAGTATTATTATTTTCCTGCAAGGGGATACATGTAGGTTTTAGATTATATCCTTGTACATAATGTTATCATCATACTCAAAGTTAGCATGCTATCACCTAATTTATTAACTTACGTTTAGTCCGTTCTATTGTGTGCGATCTGTGATCAGAAATCGTATCCGGTGTTCAAAGGTGTTCTATCGGTACCAGTAGGCCGTACTATTATCTGATTTGACCTTGTACTAGCTGCCCGTACTATAAATTATTTAGGTGTAAGTAGGTTTTAAAACAAATTATCATTAAATTCAAATTTTACCTTTTAGCATCCGATATAGACTACACAATTTCAGGTTATAATTATGTAGAAAAACATCCTTTGAGATTCACTATCAAAATGATTCAATTATAGTTCAATGTACTAATTTTAAATACTACCTTATACCTACATAAGACTGCCACAAATAGGAATTCACTTGGCGTTGAATATAATAAGTTTAAGTATAAAATTAATCAGCAAATTTTACTGCATGGAACTTTCACTTTCTATGGGTATCTTTCCTTTATGTGGTTATTCTCACTCACTACTACTATGATACGACGAACTGTCAAGGCCGGTGCGTATTGGGCGGTTGCGATGATGTACGCGATGGTCAAACCCACGCTACAGTAGAGGCGCGCTGGCGTGAACGCGCCAACACTCCCCCCAGGTACGTTGACCACCTAGTCTACTTACTCCGTTCCGCGCCGCACGTCTAGCACGGCTATCTTGGCTACCGGACGCTCGTAGATCCCGGTCAATGTCCTAACTGTTGCTGATCTGGGTTGGCCGTCTCGTCCAGGTTGGGTACATATGATCCTGCCCTTCGGCCAGCAGTTCCGTGGCATCTTCGGGTCAGCTATGACCACTATATCGTCGACCTCGATCGGCTTCGTATGGACGAACCACTTGGTACGGCGAGTTATCTCGGGCAAGTAGTCGCTTACCCAGCGCTTCCAAAACAGGTTGGTTTGGACTTGAGATAGTCGCCAATTTTGGCGCAGCACGGCACCGCTGTCATCGAGGGTGCAGAGAGGCTTAATTCCATTGGATGCCCCGAGTAGGAAGTGGTTGGGTGTCAAGGCTGGAGCTGAATCGTCGTCAACTGGAACGTGTGTTAGCGGTCGGGAATTGACCGTGCCTTCTATTTCGGTGAGCAGGTTCCGCAGGACCTCGTCCGAAAGCTTCCGTGCTGGTAGGATCGCCATCAGGTTCTTTTTGACGGAACCGATCAAGCGTTCCCAGCTACCACCCATGTGCGGGGAAGAGGGAGGCAAGAATTCCCAGCTCGTGTTGACATCGATGAACTCCTTCATTAGCTCCTCTTGGCTCACTAGCTTTTCCGCTTCCGTCATCTCCCGGTTCGCTCCGATGAAATTGGTGCACCGGTCGCTATAGATCACTCGTGGTTTTCCTCGTCGGGCCACGAAGTTCCGAATTGCCATGACGCACGAGTCAGCGTTGAGGGAATGAACGACTTCGATGTGAATCGCACGTATCGTGAGACAAGTAGCGAGCATCCCCCAGCGTTTCTCAACTCGGCGGCCAATGATGACCTCGTACGGCCCGAAGAAGTCAACGCCAGTATGGGTGAAAGGGCGTTCGAAAGCGGCAAGTCGTGCCGCCGGCAAGTCAGCCATGATCGGCGGGCGTGGAATTACTCGGTCGTTTTTACAGCGTTGGCAGTCTCTTCGCACTTTCGTGTAGGTCATGCGAAGTTTAGGTATGCTGTACTTTTGGCGAATCTCATTGATCACGGTCTCGTGATTCTGATGGTGGTATTTTTGGTGGTATTGTGCAACGATTAACTTGGTGGTGGGGTGGTCACGGGGAAGTATTACAGGATGCTTAGAATCTTCGGTCGCGTAATGACAAGCGGCGATACGTCCTCGCATCCTCAGGATCCCATTCTGATCCATCCAGGGTGTTTTCTGGTGCAGCACACTTGACTTGGGAATCGAAGTCGAAGGTTGGTCCGAGCACTGCTGCTGCTGCTGCTTCCGAAGAACTGCTATCTCGTCCGGGTAGGCTTCTTGTTGGGCTTGACGAATTAGGTACGACTCGGCGGAGGATATGTCGCGGTCGGAGAATGGTCCGCTCACGATTGGCTTCTGCAGTTTCTTCAGCCTACAGTTGACGGGAAACCGTTGAACAAGAGCGACCACTTTAACCAATCGCTTCCAGCTGGAGAATTTGCTCGTGCTAACTATCGGCTCTGGGGCAATGAAGTGCGTCAATACACTAGGGCGAAGTTCTAAATTGACGGAATTCGTTCTAGTTGGTGAACGCGGCCAATCTGTTTCCAGGTACTGTAGGAACTCGGGGCCGTTGAACCATCTCGCCTTCGGGGCCAAATCAGGAAGTCCTTTCCATTTTGTTCCATCATCAGCTACGTTCAGATCTGTTGGAACGTATCTCCACTCTTTCATTTCCGTGGTGTCCAGGATCTCGCTAACCCGGAATGCGACGAATTGCGAATAACGTCGATGGTCGGAATTAATCCAGCACAGTACATCTTGCGAGTCCGACCAGTAGTAGCAACAGGAGATTCGGACTGAGAGGGCATTCGATACGGAGCGAGCTAGCCTGGCGCCGACCAATGCTGCTTGAAGTTCTAATCTAGGAGTGGATAGAAATTTCAACGGAGCGACTCTGGTTTTAGCAGCCACCAATCGGCATTCCACTACGTCGTCTTGAGCGAAGCGTAGATAACAGACCGCAGCCATCCCGTTGTCACCAGCGTCTACAAACGTGTGGAGCTGGATATCTTCACAATCTGGAGTGGTTCGTGTGCGGTAGCATCGAGGAATGCTGATTTGTTCAACTTGTGGCAGTACTTGCAGCCATGTTTGCCACTTGTCGAAGAGAGCATCATCGATTTCGTCGTCCCAGTCGATTCCGGAACGCCATACGTCCTGAAGCAGAACCTTCAAGTACATGAGGAAGTGCGCGATCAGTCCGAGTGGATCGAACATGGACATGAGAACGCGTAACATCTCTCTCTTCGTTGGATGTCGTTTACCTTCCAAAAGCGCTTGTCCGTAGCGAGTCCATCCTACTTTGTACGTAAAAGTATCCGAGTCAGTGCACCACCACATTCCGAGCACTTTCTCAGTTGCTAGTTCTGGCGACAGGTCGAGGTTCTTCTCTTCCGTGTGTTCCTCTTGTAGAGCCTCCACGGCACGCTTAGAGTTGCTAATCCAGTTACGGATCTCGAATCCGCCTTTCGAATGCACCTTCTTCACTTGTTGAGCAAGTTGGATAGCTTCATCTTCGGTTTCAACACTAACCAGCATATCGTCAACGTAGTGGCGTTTCTGAATCACTTCAACTGCCGCTGGATTTTCTGCCTTGAAGCGCTCGGCGTTCAGGTTTTTGACATACTGGGCACTGCTAGGAGAACAACAGGCTCCAAACGTCATCACCTGTAAGACGTAGACAACAATGTTACCGTCGTCATCGAACCAGAAGAATCGTTGGCAATGCTGATCTTCCAAACGCATGAGGACTTGCAGGAACATCTCGCGCACATCTCCAGTAAGTGCGATTCGGCCTTCTCGAGACTGAATCAGGATAGTGTACAGTTCGCAGAGCTGATCCGGACCTTTCAGTAGAGCTGAATTCAACGATACTCCACACGCGGAGGCCGCTGCGTCCCAAACTATTCGGATCTTTCCCGGCTTGTTGATGTTGGTCACCGGAAATGTAGGCAAATACCAAACCCGTTGCAATGGTTGTTTTAGTTCCTCGTCGGTGAGTCTTCTGGCGTATCCTTTCGTGACGAAGTCGGCGATTTTCTGATGCAGCGTTTCAGCGAGCTTTGGGTCCTTGTCCATTCGCTTCTTGAGGCACTGTAGCCGGCGTAGAGCCATCGGGCGACTATCTGGTAGACGAATATTGTCGTAGCGCCATAACAGGCCGGTTTCGTAACGGTCTCCTTTGAACACGGTGCGAGATTCCAGCAGGGACTTAGCTCGTTCATCTTCTGCAGACAAAAGCGCTCTTCTCGGCTGCGCAACTCCCAAGCTATCAATTGCAAAATATTCTTTCATCGCCTTGTGTAGATCCTCATCCGTTTGTGATTCGCATGGGCACACATGGAAAACTGAGTGCACCAGATTACTGGCATCGTCTTGGTTTCCTCCTCCGCAAACTGTCCAGCCTAGTCTGGTTTTCACGGCGATCGGTTGGTTTCGTATACCCTCTCGGCTCTTCAGGACTAGACTGAGGTGTTGATCCTTCATACCGATCAGGATTCTCGGCCGAACATCTTGATACGAAGCAATCGGCAAATCCTTTAGATGAGGATACAGTTTACGAAGTTCCTCTACGTTGAGCGTTTGCGATGGAAGCAGAAGTTCATTTACTGTGCGCACGCCGTTCAAGGTGTACTTCTTGGAAGGATGATGTGCTGCCGCCACATCCAGACTGACTGCTCTCGAACTGTTTTCTCGTCGTTGCGCTCCTCCTGTCCAGTGCAAACACAGAAGCTTTGGCTCCCCTTCAAGCTGCAGCTCATCGGCTAGCTCTTTGTCGAGAAGTGTGAGCGCCGACCCATCATCCAGGAAGGCGAATGTCTGGATCGAACCGTGTTTTCCTTGAAGTACGACCGGTAAGTAGCGGAAAAGAACCTGACTGGACGTAACCTGATGAGTATGGCAGCCGTGCCCGGACGTACTATTTCCTGGTTGAGCAGGGTCGTTGCGCTGAGTTGATGTAGATTTGTTCGTGGTATTGGATGACGTATTCGTGGATGACGACGTGTTCTTCTGATCGTTGTGCAGCAACTCGTGGTGCTTCAACTCGCACCCATTCTTTCCACATAGCTTGGCTTGACATCCTCCATTGTGCCGGCGTAGGCATCTCCGACATAGGCCGAGGTCTCGTACCGTAGCCCAGCGTGAATCACGGGAGAACTCTATGAAGCTCTTGCATTTGGCGATCCACTTGCAGGTTCCCTTGCATACGGGGCAGCTATCATGGACCACTTTCGCGTTGGATGATGCCGCGGTGCGATGATCCGATGGCGATTCCTCAGTGTGTGCATTGACAAAGTTCCCTTTTTTATTTCCACGAATATCGTTTCGAACAGGTTTAGGATCGAAACCGTTGTTGGGAATGATCACCGCGCTGGCAGCCTCTGCTAGAGAATACAGCCAGCTACTGAACGACGGAAGGTTGACCATCGGAAGCGATTGCCTGTATTGTGCCCAATTCAGCTTTATGGAAGAAGGCAGCTTGTTGACGAGTTGATGGAGAAAGGTCACGTTGTAGAGGTACTCCTCCAGTCCACACGCGTCCACTGTCGCACAGAAATTTTCGACGTTGACGGCAAAGTCTACGAGTGTTTCCAGTTTATCCTCTTTCAGCGCTGGTAGGGAGTTGATCTTCGACATCATCGAGTTGACAATCACCTCAGGTTGCCCGAACAGCATCTTCAGTGTCGACATAACTCCATTGACGTTGGAAGGATGCATCAGCAGACATTTTACCGCCTCGTATGCTCGACCCTTTAAACTTCGCTGCAAACGAACTATATTTTCCTCGTCGGTGAACCCACACATTGTTGTAGTGCTATTGAAGGTTGAGAGGAAGAGGGGCCATTCCTCAGGATTTCCAGAAAACATCGGTAGATCCTTTGAAATAGCTTGTCGTGCAGCTAATTGCTTTCGAGTAAGCGGACATGGATCGAAATCGTCCTCTTCGCGACCGTGAGGTCGACTGGATCGTCTAGGCGGAAAATTCGGATGATTTTGCGGAGTACCCTGAACTGGAAACGGCATAGGCATCGGAGGATCCGGGCTGGGATCGAAGCCTGGATGCGAAAGAATCGGTTCTGGTTCCGGGTGTCGTGGAACAGGTACCGGTCGTGGATTTCTTTGAACAGGATCTGGAACAGGTCGTGGTGATTCCGAACGCCGCAGATCAGGATTCGGATATAATTGTTGTGGAATCTGGAGCAAGCGTGGAGATCCACGATTCGGAACTACCTTTGGAGCACCAGGAGTCGGGACCGGGTGCATACGATTCGGTGTCGATACCGAACGAGGATGTCCTGGATCCGGAAATACTCCTAACGGTTCTGGAATCGGAAACGGCTGCGGATAATTTACAGCTGGAACAGGCCTCGGCGATTTATGCGATAGAACCGGACGTAGAGGAGTAAGATTCGGAACCGGCATTGGATGTTCTGGAATCGGGTACTGTTGTCGAGGATTTGGAATCGGGTCCGGTATTGAAAATGTTGCCGGATGGCCCTGAACGACGGCTGGTTGGCCATCGGGGTCAAGCTGATTCTCCTCTTCCGGATCTTGCTCTGGATCTGAAGCCTCTTCTTGATGTTGCTCTTCCACCCAGTTCTTCATGCGACTTAATGACACAATGCTACTCGAATCATCCTCACTTAAGGCTTCCTCCAGCAGTTGATATTTTTGTTCTAAATAGGCCTTTTCTTTCCTTGCTTCTTCCGCTGCGATTGCTCGTTTCAGTTCCGCTTCCCGCAGCTCAATAGCCCTCAATTCGTCCAGCTTCTGAAGTTTCAGTTTCGCAAGGGCTTGTGAGGAGCGACTCGATGCAACAGACGTTTTCGATGCGTTTCGCGATGAATTCTTCTTCTCGCCAACTTGCCACTGCACAGTTGTGACGGATGGAGCCGTCGACCGCTTTTTATGACCACCACTTTCTTGAGGACAGACTGCACCAGAAGTTGAACTTGTTGCCTGGACACCTTTCGCGGTTTCGCATTTGGTACAGCTCCAGGAATAATTCTCGACTTGCTGCGTGACTCCGACACATTCGAAATGATGCCATTTCAGGCAATCGTCGCACCTCACCATATCATCCGTGTCTTCTCCTCGGCACACCTGACATGTATGGCCGGGATGGGACTCCTCCGGATCTTCCGTGACCACCGTTTGCACACCATCATTTGCACTTTTCACCACTTCACCAGACTTGCCCGACTGTTTCGACCGTAAACTTCGACTTGACATGACCGGATTTCTACGCGCTTATTTCGTGTATAAACGAAAATAATAATATGTTGGAAATTGCCAACAGATTACCGGACGGGATGATTTCCGAAATAATAATAAAGCAGAGAGACGACCGATAGTTAGGATTTATGTTTGAGTTGCGCAGTATTATTATTTTCCTGCAAGGGGATACATGTAGGTTTTAGATTATATCCTTGTACATAATGTTATCATCATACTCAAAGTTAGCATGCTATCACCTAATTTATTAACTTACGTTTAGTCCGTTCTATTGTGTGCGATCTGTGATCAGAAATCGTATCCGGTGTTCAAAGGTGTTCTATCGGTACCAGTAGGCCGTACTATTATCTGATTTGACCTTGTACTAGCTGCCCGTACTATAAATTATTTAGGTGTAAGTAGGTTTTAAAACAAATTATCATTAAATTCAAATTTTACCTTTTAGCATCCGATATAGACTACACAATTTCAGGTTATAATTATGTAGAAAAACATCCTTTGAGATTCACTATCAAAATGATTCAATTATAGTTCAATGTACTAATTTTAAATACTACCTTATACCTACATAAGACTGCCACAAATAGGAATTCACTTGGCGTTGAATATAATAAGTTTAAGTATAAAATTAATCAGCAAATTTTACTGCATGGAACTTTCACTTTCTATGGGTATCTTTCCTTTATGTGGTTATTCTCACTCACTACTACTATGATACGACGAACTGTCAAGGCCGGTGCGTATTGGGCGGTTGCGATGATGTACGCGATGGTCAAACCCACGCTACAGTAGAGGCGCGCTGGCGTGAACGCGCCAACATTAGCTGTTCTAAATTCTCCAAACTGTCCTGGAGTCCGGATAATTGGTTCAACAAGATCAACCTAGGCTCGGACAATGTCTGCTGCATTTAAATATGTATAAACAGGTTCTTAGTGTTTATATGGATCACACATGTCCTACTGTCATGAATTTCAGATGCTCTAGATTCTCCACACTGTCCTGGAGTCCGGATAATTTGTTCAACAAGATCAACCTTGGCTCGAACAATGTCTGCTGCATCGAAATACATTCAAACAGGTTCATAGTGTCTATGTGGATCATGCATAACCTATTTTTATGTGTATCAGCTGTTCTATGTTCTCCAAATCGTCCTGGAGTCCGGATAATTTGTTCTATAAGATCAACCTAGGCTCGAACAATGTCTGCTACATCGAAATATGTCCAAACAGGTTCATAGTGTTTATATGGATCACACATGTCCTACTGTCATGAATTTCAGATGTTCTAGGACCTCCAAAACGTCCTGGAGTCCGGATAATTTGTTCTAAAAGATCAACCTAGACTCGGACAATGTCTGCTGCATCGAAATACGTCCAAACACATTCATAGTGCCGATGTGGATCAAATCTGCGCCTTGGTTTATCTTGTTGAACAAATTATCGGACTCCACGGCAATTTGGAGAAAATACAACATCTGATATTCATGAAAATTAATGACATTGTGTAGCGATTAAGGGTTTTTCAAACTTCAAGAAAAACTGTTGACTGCAGTTTTATCATCGCCATCGTTTTATATTCCCTGAAGAAGGTCAAGTCCAAAAACTGAAACGTTGAACGTAATAAAACATCGTAGGATTCAAATCTACCGTTAATCCAAAAATCCAATACCCGAAACAATGTATTCCATCGTTTTATGGCGATTGCAAACAAGCTTTACCCGTGCCCTAGTTAATTAGAAATTAATTAGTCAATGACGTGAAAATTTACTCTTCCAGGAATTTCTTTAAAATGCCTTCAGAAATTCCTCCTAAAATGTTCCTTTTCAGCTTTCACCATGCTCCATCATGTTTCATTCAATATTCATTGCATTCCCTTGGCACGGTCGCACTCTAGCGTAACGTACGCCTGCTGCCAGAAAACGTAACAGTCAAAGTCACAATAAACAGCTGCACTAATGGACATTAGTGCTAATGTAAAACGAAAACTTCGTCACCTTCGGCCCCACCTAGATGGAGGATACTCGTCAAAGTTTGACGGAACACACGTGTTCGGAGGAATTCTCACCATCCTCCTCTCGTCCTTTTCCTGTTGTTTCAATGTTTATGTAAATGCAATGACCGTAAATCTCATTTGGGGTTGTCCATTCACGTGAATATTTTATTCATGCCAAGTGTGCACCGCCGCGCCGCGCCGTTTGGGTGCATAGCTGTAGCGTAGCTCGAACCAAGTGTGGCGTTCGTGAGTAGGAGTTTGACTGCACCTGACACAGCACAGAACGGTTACATTTGATTACATGGCTGTTTATGATTTATAGCGTGTAACTGGTTATGGTCGGACCATTGAATTTCTAATGAGAGCTTTTATAATTACAGTAATTGGAATCGTGTCTACATGAGTGAGTGCCATCGATTCATTAATTACGGCAGTACATGTCAAATTGTTCGGACTACACGGATAAGCAAAATTGCACATTTATTGCCAAAATTTGCCCGGTACATTCCCGAGAACCTTCCATCCGAGCCCGTACTAGTTCTCCTCCTTGGACACCGTGAAGAATATCTGCAGATCAGCTTCACCCTCTGGTCCGGTGAACAGCGCCGTCAGCCGCCAGTAGCCTTCCGGGATCATCTGCGGCATGGTTTCCGGTTTCAGCACAAAGTGCTTGAACCAATAGCCCTCCGCCGGCAGTGGACAGGGCACGTCCGACTCGATCCGCGGTAGATTGGTGGTTTGCTCGAAAATCTCCTGATATTCCCGGTAGGTGTCGTTCAAAAATTGACAGAACTGTTGCTCGGGGATCTTCATCGGGTACTCGTTGAACTGGTTGTTGCCGAGGCGACTATGGGCACTTTTAATTTGAAACTTCCAATCGGATTCACGTTAGAATTATATGGAATATACGCCGGATTGGTCTTCTTACCGTGAAGCGATCGTCCATGTCCACAAAGACGTTCATGGTGCCGTTCAAGACGGCGCAGGTCCGGTTGAGCTTGGTGATGCGCAGATCCGACTTCATGATATCGAATCCGACGGTCTGTTCGACCCGTTGGAAGGTGATGTCGGAGATTCCGTCCGGCTGAGCGGAACGGAAGAGGGCCGATAGTGCGATGATTAGACCGAGCAGCAGCATTGCGTTCCGTGGAGGTCTTTCGGCTTTCGGTCGAACAGTGGTCACTCTCTTTTTATACTGTAGTTTGAGCTAATCAATATGATCTCATGATCTGTCTGCGGCTTAAGTACCTGCGAACATGACAGTGGTTCACATGGGTGGTATTGATTTGCATTAGCATCGCTTGGAGCAATACAGGAAGTTCGATGAATTACGGGTGTCTATTATGGGCTGTTGTTTTCCGGAACGAGATAGACTGGACGGTGAAGCGATTGTGGATTTAGTTGGCCAAGCAGTGGATACAGTCGGGTGTTTCCAATGCACGAATCCAGAACAGACTAGATCTTGGTAGGACTCTGATGTGGTAATAAATTCAGGATAAGTCTAGGCAATCGGCAAGACAAGGTCAAAGGTAAGCGCGAGAAAAGCCTGAAAAGCTGAAGAGTCAATTGGGCATTCTCAAGAAAACATTGTGAAGCGCTTCTAGGGCACATCTGAGGATCTCCAAAAATTTGAGATCTAGTGCAACTCGAAAGACTTCCGAGCAAGGTCAGAGAAGCTTCCAGGGATGTCTTCAGGGCAATGTCATAGATATTCCAGGGTTAGAATCATGTAACTTCGACATCGACGCAAGTTGTGTCTATCCCATACGTTTTTCACGATAGCTGCGTCGTACGAGCTGACGAGTCGACGTCGCGTTGTTTACATTTAAAATAAATGCATACGATGACTAGATAGAACTTTGGAATGTTCTAGAAAGTTGTGAGTTCATCAATTATCTAACTAAAATATGAGCACACACCAGTCGGTGTCCACTGCTGCGTGCCGCCAGTGACTTCGTTAAACGATCGATGCAGCTAAAGTTGCATCGATAGTGAAAACATTATTCACGCTTCCGGTTTTCTATATTCAAAGATGGCGACTTCTGGTTCGGGGAAAACTGTCAAACACCTAACAATATTGATTTTTTCGGAACGAGGACGATTTGTAGAGGCCGGAAATCGATGTTTACAGCCATTTTGGGATCCAAAATCACGACTTTCGATTTTTTAAATTCCAATATGGCGACTTCCGGTTCGGGAAACACTGTCAAACACCCAACAATATGACTATTTTTTGAACGATATGTAGAGGCTGGAAATTGATGTCTGAAGCCATTTTGGGATCCAAAATGGTGACTTTCAGTTTTCTAGGTTCCAAGATTGCGACTTCCGGTTTGTGGAAAACCATCAAACACCCAACAATATGGGTATTTTCGAAACGGGGATGAATTTTAGAGGCCGGAAATCAATGTTTCAAGCCATTTTGGGATTCAAGATGGCAACTTTCAGTTTTCTAAATCCCAAGATGGCAACTTCCGGTTTGTGAAAAACCGTCAAACACCCAACAATATGGATATTTTCGAAACGGGGACGATGTCTATAAGCCGAAAATCGATGTTTGACGCCATTTTGAAATCCAAGATCGCGGCTTTCGATTTTTTAAATTCCAATATGGCGACTTCCGTTTCGGGGAATACTGTCAAACATCCACCAATATGGCTTTTTTTTGGACGATTTGTAGAGGCCGGAAATTGAAATTTGCAGCAATTTTGGGATCCAAAATATGGCGACTTCCGGTTAGGCGAAAACTGTCAAACATCCAACAATAAGGTTATTTTCGTAACGATTTGTAGAGGCTAGAAATCGATATTTACAGCCATTTTGGATTAAAAAATGGCGACTTTCAGTTTTCTAAATCTCAAGATTGCGACTTCCGGTTTGTGGAAAACCGTCAAACACCCAACAATATGGGTATTTTCGAAACGGGGACGATGTGCAGAAGCCGAAAATCGATGCTTGAAGCCATTTTGGGATCCAAGATAGCGACTTTCGATTTTTTAAATTCCAATATGGCAACTTCCGGTTCGGGGAAAACTGTCAAACACCCAGCAATATGACTATTTTTTAACGATGTGCAGAAGCCGAAAATCGATGTTTGAAGCCATTTTGGGATCCAAGATAGCGACTTTCGATTTTTTAAATTCCAATATGGCGACTTCCGGTTCGGGGAAAACTGTCAAACACCCAGCAATATGACTATTTTTTTTAACGATATGTAGAGGCCGGAAATCGATGTTTGAAGCCATTTTGAGATCCAAAATGGTGACTTTCATTTTTCTAGGTTCCAAGATTGCGACTTCCGGTTTGTGGAAAACCATCAAACACCCAACAATATGGATATTTTCGAAACGGGGACGATGTGTAGAAGCCGAAAATCGATGTTTGACGCCATTTTGGAATCCAAGATGGCAACTTCCGTTTTGTGAAAAACTGTCAAACACCCAACAATATGGGTATTTTCGAAACGGGGACGATGTGCAGAAGCCGAAAATCGATGTTTGACGCCATTTTGAAATCCAAGATCGCGGCTTTCGATTTTTTTAAATTCCAATATGGCGACTTCCGGTTCGAGGAATACTGTCAAACATCCACCAATATGGCTTTTTTTTTACGATTTGTAGAGGCCGGAAATTGAAATTTGCAGCAATTTTGGGATCCAAAATATGGCGATTTCCGGTTAGGCGAAAACTGCCAAACATCCAACAATAAGGTTATTTTCGTAACGATTTGTAGAGGCTAGAAATCGATATTTATAGCCATTTTGGAGTCAAAAATGGCGACTTTCAGTTTTCTAAATCCCAAGTTTGCGACTTCCGGTTTGTGTAAAAACGTCAAACACCCAACAATATGGGTATTTTCGAAACGGGGACGATGTGTAGAAGCCGAAAATCGATGTTTGAAGCCATTTTGGGATCCAAGATCGCGACTTTCGATTCTTTAAATTCCAAGATGGCGACTTCCGCTTCGGGGAAAACTGTCAAACACCCAACAATATGGCTATTTTCGTAACGATTTGTAAAAATCGATGTTTTCAGCCATTTTGGTATCCAAGATGGTGACTTTCAGTTTGCTAAATCCCAAGATGGCGACTTCCGGTTTGTGGAAAACCGTCAAACACCCAACAATATGGGTATTTTCGAAACGGGGACGATGTGTAGAAACCGAAAATTGATGTTTGCAGCCATTTTGAGATCCAAGATGGTGACTTTCGATTTTCAAAAATCCAGTATTTCTTTTAAATCTTTATTAAAGAGACTTTCAGCCCTGGGCTGGTTCGTCTAGGGGCCTCATAGCCTAGTCAGTACGGTATTACCAAGCTGAAGGCGGCGGTTTCGATTCCCGGTCCGGTCGAGGGAATCTTTCGGGTTGGAAATTTTCTCTAATTTGCTGGGCATAAAGTATCATTGTGCCACACAGTTTACAAATTCATGTATTGGTATTGGCATCGAAAGCTCTCAATTAATAACTGTGGAAGTGCATTTGGAACACTAAGTTGAAAGCACGCAATAAGCTAATATGCACTAAGCAATAAGCTTGAAATGCGAATAAGAAGAAGCATGGTTCGTCTCCGGCCAAAAAAACCGTGAACAACGAGTGCATGCCTGAAATCAATGTTTGACGTCATTATGGAATCCAAGATGGCGATTTCCGGTTTGTGTAAAACTCAAGTATTTTCCTATATGAGAAGTTTTGGAACGGAGACGACGAGAAAGGCCGGAAATCGATGTATGACGCTATTTTAAAATCCAACATGGTGACTTCCGGTTTGGTATTTTTGGAACGGGAACAACGAATAGAGGCTGCAAAGCGATGATTCTGGAATCCAAAATAGCGACTACCGGTTTGTGAAAAACTGTCAAATATCCAACAATATGGGTATTTTTGGAACTAGGATGACGAGGTAAGCCTGGAAATCGATGTTTGACGCCATGTTGGAATTCAAGATGGCTACTTTCGGTTTGTGAAAAACAGTCAAAAGTCCTACAATGTGAGTATTTTCAAAATGGGGAAGACGTGAACAAGCCGGGAATCGATGTATGACGCCATTTTAAAATCCAACATGATGTTTTCCGGTTTGTGAAAAGCTGTCGAATACTCAACAATGTGAGTATTTTTGGTACGAGAACGACGAGAGAAATCGATGTTGGACGTCATGCTCGAATCCATGATAGCGACTTCCGGTTATTAAAACAATTGTTGTATATCCATCAATACGGGTATTTTTAGAACAGGAACGATAATCTATGTTAGATGATTTTTTATTAATCCAAAATGGTGACTTCCGGTTTTCTGAAGTCTGATATAGCAACAACCACTTTTTCTTAAACTTTTTTTCGGAATGGGCCGATGAGCAGAAGCCGGAAAGCGATGTTTGCCAACATTCTGGAATCCAAAATGGCGACTTCCGGTTGTGAAAAACTGTCCCAACAAAACGGTAGTTTAGGAACGGGGACAAATGGCAGTACATTTTCGAACAATCAACCAATGTTGATGAAGCCGGATGCATTTGACAGGAAATTTATAGCAGTTTAAATAAATCATTTGAAAATTTGAGGTCGCCAGTGGCCACCGGAGTTGTCCGGATTTTTGGAGGGTGATTTTTTTCAAAGCTTCTGGTATGAACATTTAATTTAATTCTAATTTAATTTCTGATACTAGAAGCGATTTTGAATTCAACGCTGACCATAGATTCAAGATCTGTTGAGAAACAACCGAGATCTGGCCATTTCCTTGAAATCGGTCCCGGTAATGGTAATGTTTAGAATCACGTCAATATGTGTATCAATCCCCATGATTTTTACGCGCGATGTCTCCAGAATCGTTTTCAGCGTCACAAGTAACGATGGCCAACCTGGAGCAGGTTCTGGATTCCTCGAGGGAAGTGGCCAATTTGGGACATGACCGGAACCATATCAATATGGGTATCAAACTTCAAGATTTTGCAAGCCAATGTCAATGGTAGCTTTTTCAGGTCCACAGCTTGCCCCGGTCTCCTTGGAGCAGGTTATGGACCTCCCGGGGGAAGTGAATAATTTCGCACATGACCGGAATCATGTTAATACGGATTTCAAGCTTCAAGATTTTACAAGCCAAACCAATGGCAGTTTTATCAGGCAAATAACTTGCCATGGCTACTCT